AGATTTACGACTTCTATTAGAAGTGACCGGGAGTTTTAATTAGGAATTAAGAGTTAGGTCAAATTTACCTAAAACATTACCCTAAGGTCGGGCTTACGACTTTCCTATGAAAGTTGTCGGGTAGTGAGTCTTACAACTAGGGTGTCAATTCGGGTCAACGGGTCAAGTTCGGGTCGAAACCGGAATTGACCCGGCACTATTCGGGTTAACCCGAACCCGACCCAATTTTAAAAATGGGTCAGGTTTTCGGACCCGAACCCAACCCGATTCGAGTCCGGGTCAACCCGACCCGAAATGAATGACCTAGGATTGACCCAAAATTGCTAGTTTTCGGGGTCAAAATTGGGTCAATCTTTGATTTTCGGGTCAAAACGGGTCAATCTCGGGTTTTCGATTCAAATACGAGTTTTCGTGTCAATTTCGAGTCATTTTCGGGTTGCTGGGTCAACCCGAACCCGAGCCAATTTTTAAAACGGGTTGATTTGTTGAACCCGAACCCGACCCATTTCGGGTCCGGGTTGACTCGAACCCGAATTTTTCCAGGTTGGGTTCGGGTCGGGTTTCGAGTAGTGTCAAAAATTAACACCCCTACTTACAACCAAGTTCTTATAAACCAAGGCTGCCCATGTGAGGGTTTAGAATTTAATTGTGTCTTTGTTAAGAGGATGTCAGTTGTTTACAATTTGTTATTTAGATAATTTGAAAGGGTTGTAAGTTGGTTTAAGTTTGTGGTTTTGACACCTCGGGATTTTGACACTATGTTAGTATTTTAGTTGTTCTGTGCTCGTAGTCTTTTTCCTACTATAGTAGTCTACTACTCTACCTGTTTTTCAGCACTGTTACTCTACTAGCTTTTTCGTACTTGAATTTTCTTTCTTTATAGTACTCTATTATACCTGTAGTAGCTAGATTTATCAGCATTCATTCAATTTATTTATGATGTACTGATTCTTCATTTGTTTGTTTGTAGGTGTTCGTAGCCAATATTTACAATAGCCGGGACTTGCAGTTGCAAAGGATAGAGCCCACAAGCAGCTGTAGGAGCTCATATAGGGGAGCTTTGGAGAGCATGCAGAGGAGTTCAGTTTGAGTGTGTTGACTGTTGAGTTGTTTGTATTGTTATTCGAGAGTTTGAGAGCTTGAGAGCAATTTGTACAAGGGATTTGGGGAGTTTGAGAGTTTTGGAGATTTGGCAATCAATGTTGTATATGTCATTTAATGGAAACTTCTCTTCCCTCCTACTTTTATTTATTGCATTTTTATTTTAAGATTTCTCATTTAATTAATTAAATAATTAACCAATAAACCAATTCTAAATTCCACTGCTCTCTTTTTTTTTTAACTCTTGGATTTTAAAATTTTTAGAATTTAAAATTCTCTCAAATTTGAAATGCTCTCGTACTTTGAAACTTACGAATTCAAAAATATTCTTGTATTTTAAAATTAACCTATTAATTTTAATTGATAAATTAGTTTTGAAATGATTTATCACAATCCTTGTCATCTCATTAGCTAAAGGAAGAGAGGTGATGCTTTGACAATCAGAAACCTCCAACATTTCAAGAGGAATATCATTTGAAATATCACAATAATTTAATGTTTTTCCACTTAATGTTACTTGCGTTAGAATCTCTTAAAGAGGTCCTCATTTAGAGACTTTCAAGATGTCTCATTTAGAGACATTCATGGCATCTCAAAAAGTAGTCTTTGGTCTGAGATGATATCCAACCAGTTCTCATTTATGTTAAATGGCATTTAGGAGACGAGAAGCGGGGAAATTTTTGTTCTTACTTATCACAAGTACAAGGAGAAAGGGATTAGAAGAAGTCATCATTAATAAGAAGATAATGATGCATATTGAGTTATACACTTGTCTTGAGTTCATTCGGGACTTTCATCTATGATGTTAGTTATTTCAAAATTAATCAATTATTTTTATTAATTTAATCAATAATTTTTTAATTAAATATTAATTAACCATATTAGTTAATTAACATTTAAATTTTGATTTTAATATTTTAATTGAATTCAAATTAAATTGTCCTCTGAAATTTTGAAAAAAATTCGACAGCCTCCCGGCGTCCCCTCCCCACTGAGGAAGAAATCGAGATGGCATTTGCCGAAATTTTTTTCTACCCAGACCTAAGGTCGATGGCATAGGGTCTTCGAATTAAAATCATCCCACCAGGATCTAAGATCGACTGCATGGGGTCTTCGAATTAAATTTCATCCCGCCCAGATCAAAGATCAATGGCACGGGGGCTTCAAATTTAAAACCATCCACCCGGATCTAAGATCGCGGCACGGGTCTTTGAATTTTAAAATCATCCGCCCAGATCTAAGATCGATGGCACGGGTCTTCGATACCTGTTTGAAATAATTTCTTCTTTTCTTTTTTTTATATACATCGTCTCCTTTTTGTTTACATTATAATTATAATTAATTATAATTATATTTATAATTATAATATTATATTTATAATTATAAATACAATTATAATCATATAAGTATGCATAAAGAAGGATATAGGAGTTTTAATCGGGTTGGCTAGGGTAATCGTCAAAGGAACACAGCCGAACATAACAAAGGAGCCACTCGTGTAATCTTTATACCTCCTGTAAAGCAAAGACGTCGAACAACAACAAAGGAGCTAAAGGGGCGACGCATGCAATCTCTAAAGGAGCGGAAGGAGCGACTCACACAATCTCTGCACTTCTTGCGAAGAAGCGAAGTCGAGCGGCAACAAAGGAGCGGAAGGAGAGACTCACGCAATCTCTGCACCTCCCGCGAAGAGCGAAGTCGGAAAGCCAAGTGGAGTCGACGCATGCGGCCTCTGTGAGCCGAAGCCGAACAGCGACGATCGAGCAGGAGTGGCGCGTGCAATCTCTTCGCCTCCTGTGAAGAAACAAAGCCAAACAACAACAATGAAAATAGAAGATGAAAGGCGAACCCTAGAAACCTCCTGCAAATCAACGAAATCGAACATGAACGACAGAGTCGATTGAGTGAGAGCAAAAGTGTAAGTCTTTTCGTTTCTTTCTCCTTCCCTTTTATCGAATGAACTGTCGAGTGAGAGTTATGGCTCTGAAGAGGTGCATCATTTGGCAAGGTGGAGCTTGCGGAGGCGGTTGCTTTCATGTGTTCTCTTTTTTTTTTTTTTTTTTTTAGTTAGTTTTTTTTTTTTTTCTTTAGTTAGTCAATAAAGCATACATTTTTTACTTTCAAAAATGCATTCCAATATAATAAAATAGGCTACAAGCCTACAATATCAAAAGACGGTAAACGTTTACCTCAAATAAAGTTAACATTCAATTCAACCTCCCTTCCTCTCCTAACCTCTTTCTCCTACTTCCTTTTCCTTCTCTTTTACTTCTTACCTTACTGTTTTCTCCCCAAAAGCTGCAAGACCGCACACAGCAGCAGCCCTCACGTATTCCCAGTTTCTGCTCGCATCCTACTCCCTGTTCGAACTCTAGAGAATGGAGAGCAAAGTTACGGGGATTGGGAAAGGAATAGAATGGGCTAGTGCTTAAGTAATTATATAATATTATAAGAAGTTTAATACCTTTTCTACTATAATCTTCCTAAGCAACCTCAGCTATTTGATGCAATTAATCTATTGCATGAGGTTTAAGTGGAACTGTATTGCTTCAACAATATTTAATTAATTAACTGAACTGCTACAGCACTAATTAATTGATTAACATTTAGTTCTGTTAATTAACATTTAGTTTAGCAAAATATCATCTTAATTAACATTTCATAATATCAAAGCAATGAATTAATATATGTATATATCCTTTTAGCTATTGCTTAAATATATCAAAATGCTAAAAAAAAAAAGGATTTAATGAAAATAACTTTGATATGTTATGGAGGAATGATAAAATGCGGTAAATTTTTTAGCCAAATATTATGCTAACATTTTTTAATTTTTTTTTAATATTATAGAGAAAACCATGCTCTCTCTCTCTCTCAAAATAGTAAAAACCACTCTTCTCATTCCACTTTCTCTAACAAAAGAAAATCAACGTCATATTTGCTTGCAAAATCGCCTCGTTGCCATCAATTTTGTCATTGCTTCCATGCACGCAAGTGTAAAATGCAAAGACCATTAAACTCAAATCCCATTGGCAACATGTTTGGGACAGCAAGACGTTAGTGACATTCGCAACATAATGGGTAAGTACCTAATGCTGTGGGAATTTTGAAAAATTATTGCCATTGTGTCATAGGACACCAATCAAACTTGTCTTTCTTGGCATGATGCGCAAACCTAGACTCTCCATAAATTCTACTTATCCAAGGGCGATCAATAGACTTTAGACTTAACAAGTCCCTAAAAGATACATATGAGAGTCTAAAATGAGCAAAATACAGGAAATAAAGCAACGAATACAAAGTTAAACACTTAAAATGCAAATGCATCAAGTGTACCAAAAATCATACAACCTAGTCATGCAATCCTTAAAAATAATTCAAATAAATGACGTATGTGCATTGAAAATTGTACAAGAAAACTAGATCTTTTGAAAACTAAATGTTCGCATGTGCTCCGACAAATGCATTGACATAATATTTAAGAATACTACATGAACTAAGAAAATGAATTATGAATTCACCTCATCAATCCGTAGAATATTGCAATTATTATTTAATAATTATTTTTCCTACTCATCATCTACATACTATTGTAATTATTCTTCCATTATTTTATATGTTCCTATTAGAAGTTCTCCGAGAATTATATAAATACTATACAAATTTTAAAAAGAAATTCTCAAATGATTCTCTCCAATTCTTGTCAAATTCCAATAAATCTAGTTAAAGAACCTTAAATTATGTGCAATCATTTTGATTATAGTTAATTGACTGGCATGCATTGTACAAGTTAAAATGACTGAAAGTATTATAAAAGATAATTGCATGTTAAAAAGACTAAGAGTTAAATTATAAAAGGTAAAAGAACATAACTTATATAGAAAGATAACAATAACAACCTGCAGTAATAGCATAATGATGGCAAAGAGAACCTTCGTAGCCTCTGTTAAAAAGTTCACACTGAGGGGACTAAATTTAAAACTTCCATCCACCTTAGACATGTAGACCAAGATGGGCTGCAAAAATATTTGAAAAGCTCGCAACTTAGTGATGTTAAATTTACAGGAAGTAAAGCTATGTACGTAGGCAAGGAAGAGGCATGTCTATATATATATTCTCCAGAAATAACCAATAGTTTATAAGGAAGTTCGAGCTCAAACAAAAATTATAAACAAACTTCAATTTTTATTAGATTATACTGGAACAACAAGTACCAAAAAAAACATTGCTTGTTAGAAAAAACATTTTTTGCATGAGTTTTTTTAAAAACATACAAAAAGATTGTACCATAAACTAGTTTTCAGGAATATTATTGTTGCTAAAAAAAGTGAAAAAATAATTGTACTAAAGCCATGTCAACAAGCACATCATACAACTAAATTAAACATTGCACAAAGTAGTAAAGCCAATTAAATTTTCTGACATGATGAGATCCATTTTCCTAGAAGAACACTTTATCTCGTGTCAGCCAATTGAAGGCGAACTTAAGAACACTTTATCTAGTGTCCGCCCATTGAAGGCGAACTTAATACTGCCCCTAGCAACACCCAGAATGTGATGTTCCTCCAATGTGTTGACCCACCGCAAACTGAGTGATCCTGTAGAAGTTCCCCTAACCCTATTTTGAACTTCCCGTCAATGCAAGGATAAACAGTGGTGCAGCAACGAAAGGGTTCTTGTGAAAAGGTGACTGAAGTGAACAATAGAACATAGGAAATCAGAAAATACCAGATAGATTCTAATTGATAGGAACAAGAAAATAGTATCGAACATGAATTCCGGACAAAAAAAAGTATCATATAAGTGACGACGATCATGATCTAAATTTTTGTTGCCCATAAGATGCATTTGTTCAAAGTTTAATCAAACCTGACCATCATCTTTCAAGTTGTTTTAGATAGAACTTTTCTCCGGCCATTATTTTTAAATGATAAAAATGACACCGCAGTGACCCAAGAAATGGCAGTAATAAGGAAAATGTAATGCTTTAAAAATGTTGTCTACATTGGAACCAGAATTTTGCAGCAATCTTGTGACCATGAATGAGTTTTGTATTTTTTTTTTTTTCATTTTCTTTTACACTAATTATGGCCCACAACATTGTGCTTGCGAAAAAAAGGAATGTCACTGGGAAATTCAAATATTATATGACGTTGTACCTTGGATAGGATGCCATCTACATAAAATTGTTCATCCATTTCAATGGTCGTATGTGGCACTAAACCCTTACAATATTGGTGGAACCGCTAAAATTTTGGTCCAAACATTAGTAATAAAACTGCTACCTCGAGTCAGTTGATTAGTCATTTTTGCATTGGTTTATTAACACAGCGTTAATGGCACTATCTTGACAACGTTGCAAATGTCAAGACATTTTGTTGCATCTACAGTCTGCATGTATAATTGCAATTAGTGAATAGCATACCATAACATAAAAGTTCTGTGGTTCCATAACACATGGTATATAGTGCAAAAATCATTATTTTAAAAATAACATAATGCATTGAAAAATCATGACTAATTTATTAATAACACAAAATATTAAAAAAAATTATCATAATACAAAAAACACCACCAATACATATAAATAGAACATAATATTACATTAACATGTATGAAAGTTAACAGAAAGCACAAAATTTTCATGTTAAATCTTTTTAAACAGTTTGCTCACTAATGAATGTACCAATGTAACTCATGCAATAAGATGATAGTTTTTGAATTTTAAAAAATAATAGTAATTAAAAAAGGTAAAATATATATATATATAATAACACAATATTGCCCGTCATCAGCGAAAGTAGATTAAGCAAAATAAAGCATTAAACAAACAAAAAATTTACATACAATTGAGAAGAAAATGTATAGAAAAAATAGAAAAAAAAAAAAGAGCATAAACAATTGTTTGGTTGATAGAAGATAAAATGAACAAGCATAAATAATAAAATACATGTGCTATCATCTATATCACATAATATTTTTATTTTGTGTATGGCTATGGGTTTAGGGTTTGGACTACATCAATGAGGTATTCAAGAAACTTGTAAGTAAAACTCAAGGATAATAAGTAAACGTTATCCGTACAGAAGCCTAGTGTGATTTTTAAGGTGTTAATTAGTTCATTACTGGTTGCAAATGCTGGTGCCAAAGAACTCAATAGACACCATATGCTACTACTTATAGTTTTGGATGACTATATGATATGTTGGTATTTGTGACATGCCAATAAATTTCATTTTGGTGAATTAATATTGCATGATTCCTTCTCATGACACTTGCGCAGTTCAGTAAGTGCTTAACTAATCAATGATGAATGTTTGTACTTTGTACATATCAGAACCCATATATAATTTTATGAAATTTTGAGAACATCACATAATTTCTAGTTTTCACCTTGGTGACGTGTTGCAAAAACTCAACATTACAATATCAAGCCTTTGTCCCACTATGTGGGATCGGCTACATGAATCTTTTTTCTCCATTGTATCCTGTTAAAAGTCAAATTCTCATGTAAATCTAATAAAGAAATATCATTTCTAATATTTTCTAACCAAGTCTTTCTAGGTCTACCTCAACCTTTTTTAACATGAGTCAAATCTAATACCTCTTTTTCCTAACTGGGTTATTAGAAGGCCGCCGTTTTATGTGACCAAACCATCTAAGGCAACTCTCTAATCTTATCTTCCACTGGCGCTACTCCAACCTTGTCACGTATATGCTCATTTTGTATCATATCTCTAAGGGTAAAGCCACTCATCCACCTGAGCATCCTCATCTCTACAACACTTAACTTAGTATTATGCTTCTCTTTCAATGGCCACATTCGGCACCATAAAGCATTGCAGGTCTCACTACCATCTTATAGAATTTTCCCTTAAGTTGGAGGGCGATTTTTCTATCACACAACAAGCCCGATGCATTCCTCCACTTCAACCATGCAACCTGAATTCTACTGATAATATCTCCATTTATTTCATCATCGCTCTGAACAATAGATCCAAGATATCTAAAATATGTACTCTTATTAATGACTTGCTCGCCCAATGTCACAATCCCCTCACTAGGTCTATTACTACTAAAATTACACTCCATATATTCGATTTTAGATCTACTCAGGCGAAAACCTTTAGACTCTAAGGTTGACTTCCATAATTCATGTTTACCTTCAACTCCCTCTCTAGTCTTATCAACAAGAAGAATATCATCAGCAAAAAGCATACACCAAGGTACATCCTCTTGTAAATGTCTAGTGAGAACATCCATGACTAAAGCAAAAAGATATGGGCTTAAGGTTGATCCTTGATGTAATCCAATCGAAATAAGAAAATACTTGGTCAAACCACCATGTGTTTGAACACAACTAATAGCTCCTGCATACATATTTTTAATGATTTGAATATAAGCGTTATTAACTCCTTTCTTTTCAAGAACTTTCCATAGCACTTCTCTTGGAACTTTATCATATGTTTTCTCTAAATCAATAAATATCATATGTAAATCCTCCTTACTCTCTCTATATTTCTCCATCAAACCTCTCAATAAATGTATGGCTTCCATAGTAAACCTACCCGGCATGAATCCAAATTGATTTTGAGAAACATTAGTATCATGCCACAACCTATGCTCCAAAACTCGCTCCCATAGTTTTAAAGTATGACACATTAACTTAGTTCCTCTATAATTTGCAAAATCTTGTGTATCATCTTTATTCTTAAAAATAGGAATTAACATACTCATTCTTCACTCATCTAGCATCTTTTTTGTCTTCAAGACTGTATTAAAAGTTTAGTAAGCCAAGAAATTCCTTCATCTCCTAAGCATTTCCACACCTCTATTTGAATATCATTAGGTCCAACAGCTTTTCCACAATTCATTTTATTTAAAGCCTCTGTAACTTCAGTTTTATTCATACGTCAACAAAAATATAAATCTTTATTTGCATTTAGGGTGCTGTCACTAAAATCAATCGTATTTTCACATTTTTTGTTAAAAAATTTAGCAAAATATCTCATCCACCTTTGTTGAATATAATCTTCTAAGAAAAGTACTTTTTGATCTTCATCCTGAATAAACTTCACTTGAACTAAATCCTTACTACTCCTATCTTTTTAGGCCTACTAATGTTGAGTTCAACAATGATGTGTTCGTTTGTTGTTTTATTTTTAATTAAAAAAATTCTTATTTACCTCCAAAATAGTTATTCCAACTGGATACCATTGTATATATCGATGCGAAATTAAGCATATATTTGAGGCATTTAGAACAAAGCTACAACTTAGTGGAAAACAATCTCATCACAAGCTGATTAAACTTGGTTTGCTAATTGTGAGTGGATTGAAATAGCGAAAGGTAGGTGCAGAATAGTTTGTAGCCAACTCATTGTGATCCCAGCATGTCAATTATAAATTTATCGTTACATTAAAAGTTCAGCTTATTAATTTGGTCATTGATCTCCTTTTTTTTTTTAATATTCAGGTATGAAAATAAAATGAAAATCATTTCAAAAAGCTACATTAGTAATATTACAAATTTCAAGATTTGTTTCAGTGCATTTCATCCAAAAGATAGGTTTAAAAAACATGAAAAGTTAAACAATTTAAATTTGAGTTTGTAGCATTTCTAGCCTAGGGATATTTTTATACACATTATTATCAGGTACACCTTATAAAATCATCCATTTTCTCTTCTCCATCACTATAACTGTAACCATCCACTGCTTCTTATCTTCTTGGACTCATACTTCATTTTCATGATTTACTTTTCTAAATTTCAAAGCTCTTGCACTAACATTTGATTTTACTTATTTCCTCGTATACATTTTTGCTCCTCCAACTATTGAAGCTCTTTTCACATCACTACATGTCAAATTTTCTTAATCAAAAAGTGTCATCCTTCGCACTTAAATTGGGAAAACAAACATGAAGTTTCATTTGATTTACAGTTCAGGTTTTGCCTGAAGGCATACCAGTAGTTCTTCGTACTAGCTCTTAGCAGGTTTCTAGTTTAGAAGGGCCTCTCGAGCATGTATTCATGGTCTTCATCATCATTTCAATATAAAAAAGAGAAGATATCAAATTAAAAAATATTTGATACAACAACAACAACAACATCAAGCCTTTGTCTCACTATGTGTGGTCGGCTACATGAATCCTTTTTCACCATTGTGTCCGGTTAAAAGTCAAATCCTCATTTAAATCTAATAAAGAAAGATCAATTCTAATATTTTTTAACCACGTCTTTTTAGGTCTACCTCTACCTTTCTTAACATAAGTCAAATATAATAGCTCAACTTTCGTAACTGGGCCATCAGAAAGCCTCCGTTTAATGTGCCCAAACAATCTAAGGCAACTCTCTCTAATCTTATCTTTCACTGGAGCTACTCCAACCTTTTCATGTATATGATCATTTCGCATCATATCTCAAAGGGTCAAGCCACTCATCCACCTAAGCATCCTCATCTCTGCAACACTTAACTTAGTATTATGCTTCTCTTTAATGGCCAACATTCGGCACCATAAAGCATTGCAGGTCTCACCACCATCTTATAAATTTTTCCCTTAAGTTTGAGGGGGGCTTTTCTATCGCACAATAAGCCCGATGCATTCTTTCACTTCAACCATCCAACTTGAATTCGGCTAATAATATCCGCATCAATTTCACCATCACTCTGAACAATATATCCAAGATATCTAAAACGTGCACTCTTATTAATGACTTGATCGCCCAAAGTCACAATCCCCTCACTAGGTCTATTGATACTAAAATATTTGATAAACCTTCAAATATTTGGAATGAATTGAGCTGGATGTGTGAGTGGGCAATGTTGGAAAATGGGACTAACTTATGAACGAATCAACTTGCAACCATGATGTCGTCGGCTAATGACTTAGCCACCCAAATTGAATTAACCAGCAAGTCCACAAGTTTTTTTTTAACTTTCAACCATTTCATGAACTCTTGAGGAGCAATGAATGGGTGTTTACTTGAAATAGTTATTATGTAGTGAAAAAACACAGAATTAAGTCAACCATGAACACCATAGAAGTAAAGATGAGCATTATCCAAATTTCTGCTAAACTTAAGGCAACCTTTCCTTAAAAGTTTAACACAGCCAACTAAAGAATTATGTATAAAGCTAGTTCCTTGTAATATTTCATAGCTGATGCAATACCTTCATTCCTCAATCAAACTAATGCTATTGAAGTTTGTTGGTCAAGAATACACATAATGTAGGAAATTAGACATGGCAGTTTGATTTCTTGTATCAATGCCAGGACAATAAATTTAAGTGGACATATGATTGCAACCAGCCCAGCTTGGTTTCCATATTTCATATTTATTTAAATTCTCCCCTATGTAATTTCCTATTTGGCATTCAGAAAGATGTTGGGCAAAATGGTAGAAACAATACTCAAGTCACGAAATAAGATATTGATTGCTCAAACCGCAACATGACACAGGACTGATACGTTTGATCTTATTCTCAATGAAGGAATGAAACATAAGTGAAACAATTATACATTGTTTTCTCACCTGTAGACCAACCAAGAAGCAATCACCAAAAACCAGAAGCACATTCAAAGCACGATTTTTAGATGACACGTTGCTTCTATGTTTATCATATGCCCTTGAAATAGTCTTACTACTCGGTGACAGCAACTTGGAGTGGCAAACACTGCATTCTAGCATCCCGTTCTTTAGCATTTCAAACCTTCTTCTCAGACTGAAGAACCAACGGATACTGCAGGTAAAAACCAATAAAATCTTCAGTAAATACGGTAACTAGCTAATGTTTGATCAAAAAACCAAAATTAAATCACATTTCATGATCTAACACATAAAAAACCCTAAGATGTATTAAATTCCAAGTCTAATTTTTTCAAAAATTCAAAGATGAATAGGTCAAAGATAGAAAGGTCATGAGTACAAAAAGCCTAGAAAACAATCCTCTGCTATACCAATGCATGCTCTGCAATAGGAATAAAAAACATTCCGCTGTTAATTCACGATTTCCCGACAGCAAACGTTGAAGCAGAAAAAGCGGCCTGTTTTCGTTTATCAAATTAAGCTCAATTGTTAGATTTTTCACCTATGCATCCAGCTTATGACTAGCAAAGAATAAGACTCAAGCCGACACCGAAAAATTAAAAGCACGAGGAAACGCGCGAACCAATAGGGCAGAATGAAGCAGATCTCCCCAGATTATGAAGAAGCGGATCCCCGCGAGCTGTTGCACCGGCTGCAGATCCAGAGGCGAACGGAATTGATCTAATCGGAGGTCACAAGAGATCGCTCACAGCTTCTCCGCGGATTCGAAAGGCCTCGAAGGAATCCAGATCGAAATACAAGAAAATAAAAGAATAAGCAGAAGTTCGGTGGCAGGATCAGATGAGAATATTCGGATTTCGGTGAATTGGAACGTGATGGTGAGAAGAATACGCTTGCACCGTTTCTCTTTTATAAGAGGCCAGGGATCGCCGCGGCGTAACTTTTGCTTAAATTTCACACCAAACAATCTCTTTGCCTCCGTCCCTGCATCAGGTCCTTCACTTCGTCTTTGGCCTGAATAGATTTCTCTTCCATGAGCGGCGATATGTCAGCGACTTGACCTGACCAAGGAGCGGTGGGACGGACGTGTGTAGGTTTCTAATTGTAGAATAGGGTGGAAGGAACTGGCAGCTGGGAAGTACGTGCGTTAAACCGGAGACTATAGAAATACCGTGATTAAATTCCCCAAAAAAAAAAAAATTACCGTGATTAAGACAGGTTAATTTTTTTTTTTTTTTTTTTTTTTTTTTTGAAAAATTGTGGCATTAGCCATTTCCATTACTATAAGCTTGTTACATGTAATGAAAAAAGAAAAGCAGAAAAGAAATTAAACTATGACCTTGCCAAAACAGACAAGGTCCAGTAAAAAAGGGGGAGAAACAAAATCCCCTTAGCACTATTAAAACAAAAAAGGAACTTTGCTAATAAAAACTCAAAAAGAGTGAAGGACAAAAAAAAAATAGATGCAGAAAGAACACAAAAGAAAAACAGACTGAGGAAGATAATAAAGCCAAAGGCTCAGGAATTGCCGCTCTCTCAACCTGGTTGCAAAGAAATCTGAAAAAACATCCTGTCATCCTAAGGAGAAAATGGCAATCCTTACATCATTGCCATTCTTCCATCCCGATATAATAATCAGTCTGCCATCAGCAAAAACCAAACCAGAGAAGAACCACCCAGCTTGTCACAGAAAAACAACACAACAACCATCAAAGTTCCAGTAGAGCCGAGAAACCAGAATTACCGAAAAAAACACATACAGGAAATCCCAGATAAACCGAGAAAGCTACAGCAGTTCCATCAGATTTACTACCTCTTTCCAGTTCAGAATTTTAGAGAAGACAGCGGCTTTGATTTTGTAAACCAAAGTATTGGAAGAGGCATATTTTGCACCAAATTTTCTATCATTCCTCTCACGCCATATATGATATACCGAGCAACAAATGATAAGGAACTAGAATTCCTTATATTTAGTATGTGTATCCTCAATATATTCAAAAATTTGAAGGATGTTAGGCCTTAGCAGTAAAAATCTCAAATTCCTCATAAGATTAGAAAGAACAGAAAAAGAGTAATCACACTCGAAAAAAAGGTGACTAATACATTCAGAATATTGACAGCATAAAGCACATCTAGCCTCCACCATAATTCCTTTAGCTCTTAGAGAATCAGCAGTTTTTAAACCCCCACAAATAGCCATCCAGCAAAACGAGGAGTATCTGATAACATGCCTTTTATGCCAAACGAATTTCCACCAATTCACCTTCTCATAATTTTTAAAGAAATACTTATGATAATCTCTATTCTTGCAATGATTACCATTACCCCAAAAAATATTAACATGGGAGCCCTGTGCAACAGTAATATCAGTAAAAGCCCTATTCACATTCTCAGGCAAGTTCGCAGGGAGAGACCAATTACCATCTTTAAGAATCACAGCAATACTATCATTAAGAGGGAAATAGCTAAGAAAGGAAGAAAATATCGCAATCTCATTGAGGCATTTATCCTTATACCAGTGATCCCAGTATAAAGAAAATTTGGAAGTAGCAGAAACTTTAAAATGAAAACATTCTTTAGCCAATAAAGCGTCCCTGCAAAGTTGTTTCCAAAACTTAGATGCTTTAGAGGTAGGCTCCTTCCAAGGAGAGATGTAAGCTTTGAATAACCAAATACTCATAGGAAATGAAGCATTGTAGATTCTGGTAATGAGAGAACAATTGAAGCAGAATTGATCTTTTTAATTTTTTCAATTAATAACTATTTTTAATTTTTTTATTTTTTTTTATTTGTGATGAGCAGATGCATTTTATAGTCAAAGCTATTAACGTGTGATAAGGAAATAGCTCTGCTGTTGAATTCAAATTTATAGGTGAAAGACATCTGACATTACTAGCAGTAGAAATCAAGAGTAGGCATAGTGATGGAGTAGAAAGCTTTCATTGAGAGGTCCTAAATTGATTTTTTTAAAATATTGGCCAACTTCTTTTCATTTAGGCTCAGGACCCACATTGACAAATTTAAGAAAATAAAAATTTGTTAAAATATTAAAAAGTTTGATTTTTGGTGCCTCTTAACTCTTTATAGATGTTTATACCAATAAGTTGAAAATAAATTAATTAATTATAATTCTAGTATGATGCATTGATGTATGGAGATGAACAGCATATCATCATGGTTAAGAATTAAACAATAAATATATTAATTAGTAACAAAATAAAAAATAAACCTATGACAACAGAGCCCTGCATTGGGTGCCCATACCCACACCCACCCATACCCAATGGGCATGGGTGGGTATGGGTACGCTCATGACCTCGTGGGTGGGTATGGGTGAGTACTCAACATCAGCGGACAAACTAATTTACATTACTAATTACCATATGCATACAGTATATTACATTAATCATTACTACACAGTGCGCAACACTGAACCGCATCATGACTACGATAAATTTTGATATGTGGCTTGAAAGTTTGCAGTCAGAAAAAATGGCAAAAAACTCAAGGCAATTAATCCGTGGCAGACTGCATTCAAGAAGCGTGAAAATTGGGTGGGTGTGGGTGGGTATGACATCCCGAAAGTCACCATAGGTGGGCATGGGTGGGCAAAGCCTGCTAGCGCAGAGCGTGGGTACCCAACCAGGACCCCGTGTAGGGCTCTGTATGACAATAGTTATAAACCATCAAATAATTCAAATATTTACTTTCTTTTAAATGAGAACATATAAACTAAAATAAAAACATTTTATTGTAATTAAAAAGAAAAATGGAAAGAGGGAGAGAGTGTTCAGAAAAGATAGATTTATTTCCTATTAGAGAGGGGGAAATGGGGGTAGATAGAGCAAGAGAGCTAGAGTGAGGGGGTGAGATTTAGAGGGAGAGAGATAAGTATCCCTTTGCTTTAGAGAGAGAGAGGGCAAGGAGAATGAGAGGAATATACTTATCTTTGTTAGTTCAAAGGTAAGCATTGGTTATTAGATGAAAGTACTACTAAAGTTAAAGGCAATACAAATAAAGAATGCATAAGAGCAAAAGAATATTTGAAAGAGAATATTCATACACAGATTTGTTCACCTCATTTTTGTTTGAGGTCAAAAACCTAAATTAAAGCTTTAGGCATGGTTTTCATTTCCTTCAACTCCATTTCATAGCTTCAATCCAACTCATCATTATGCTCTAGCATGTTGATTCGAACATAAAACTCTAAATCTGCTATTTGACAATCACCTTTGATGGTCAAAATGGTGGCAAATGATCTGAGTATTTTAAAATCTTAAACTCTTCAATCAACCATAAACTTCAACCATAAATCAAATTCAAATCCAAACATAGCTTCAAACTTCAAACCCTAAAATCTAGTGTTCAAATCTAAACCCTAAAGCCTTTAGACTTTTCACTTTTTTAGAGGAATTTTCAATTGGTTCAAAACCCTAGATAAAATTGTGGTTGATTTTTTACATATTAATTAAGCATGCCTTTAGACCTAACCATTTAGGAGGCATCCATGTCCTTCTAAATCCTAAAACTCAAAGCATATCCCAAGCAAACAAAAACCTTCAAATATTTATAACTTATACCATTTAACATGGCATCTTCATGTAAATTTCCTTGATACCCTTTGGAAACTCATTGAATATGTTCATAGTCATCATTACATTGATTTGAACTCATTTGAGTCTATGGTTGACTTAGGTTTACCTTGTTTGACCTATGAACCCCTTTTAAACATAAACCCTTCATATGCATGAATCATATTGAATTACTCAATCCAAGGCATGGATTGTTATCCTATGCATTGAATAATCATTCATGGTGATACATGGATCATGTTGAACCCTTGAATGAGCTAAGTTGACCACAATTGGTCATTTTGACCATTAAAGAACCTCTTTAACCCTAAACCTTACTCATGCATAGAAACCTACCTAAACCCCACCAAAGCCTTCAAATGTTTCCAAAACTTAAATTATACATGAATAAACCCGATTGAACCCTTGGTGAACCATGGTTTATCATGGTTGACCAAGAAGTTAAAACCCTAAAAATAAACCTTTGAATAAACCCTTTATGGCTCAATCATGCCATGAGCCAAGACTACTTTCAACAAATTTCAAATACCATTTGGAGTGAATAGGACCTAAACTCAAGCCTTGGTTAAGCTTGGTTGATCAAATCAATCTAGGTTGATCAAGTCAACCTAGGTTGACCAAATCAACACTTAAGCCATTAAATATACATTTCATACATATAAACCATGTCATAACCTAAAATGTTATCCAACAAGCTCCAAATGTGAATTTGAATGAGTTGGACCTAACCCTAACCCCTAGTCAACTCTGGTTGACCAACTCAACTATAATTGACCAAACAAAACCTAAATATTCTAAACCCAAAATTCATTGTTTTAGGCCAAACTAGAATACTCAAATCCATTGGGACGATCCGTTGGATCCCCAAGGATAATTGCTTCATACCTATTGTTATTTGTCTTGAATAGTATTGTCTATGTACCACATGCTCTCTCAAGATCTTTTGTGAGATTATCCCTATAAGATTAATAATTGGTTAGATTTGGTAATTCAAGTGAGTTTGGGTTCCACCTTATACTTTAATGGATGACTGAGATGCATTTTATACTATAATGCAAATGATTTATGCCTCCACACATGATGTGTTCAACAATGTACATAGAAAGTGTGGGCTATGTGTCCTACCATGCCACATGAGTAACGCCTAACCCCATGGAATGAATTCACTAATCTATGTATGGTATTGTTCCTCTTTCTAGGGATATAAGTTGATGCATGATGTGTCCTAGTGGGTGCATGTTGTGCTAGTGTAAGTTAAGGCTTTTGTGCTAATAAAAATAGTTGCGAATTATTTAGAAGTGCAAATACTTTTTTTAAATATTTATTATCACTTTTGTAACTTTTAACCTAAAATTTTAATGCATACTCACTTGGGTATAGTTCTGTTGCCAGTGTTCCTAATTCTTTGAATGCTTCTTATGGTTCAACATGCTTAGATTTCAAGAATGTATGCAATTTAGTTAATTCAATATGCTTATTATTTAATTCATCAAATTTATGTGGTGGAGAAGCATGCTC